AATAAAAACCCAAACAAGGAACGGAGAGATGGCTCAGCAGTTAAGAGCACTGGCTGCTCTTCCAGAGGACCCCCGTTCAATTCTCAGCACCCACATGTCAGCTCACAACTGTCTGTAACCACAGTTGGAGGAGGCAAGACACTATCACACAGACATGCACACAGGCAAAACACCAATGCACACAAATTGAAAGTAAATAAACTATTTAAAAAATACAGATTAATATAAAATAAAAGTAAACATTCAAGGCTTCCAGCCCTTTTAATTTTTTTCAATCAAGCAGTAATGCTCCTAAAAATGTTCTCATCAAACACACTACAATTTAAAAAAAGTGAAAGATATTGTAATTTAAATGTGAGCTGTCCCCCATAGGCTCTGTACCTGAACCTTTGGGTCCCAGAGAGTGGCACAGCTTTGGTTGAGGGTGGGCGGGTGATGAAACCTATTATATATGGGGCAGATGTATGGCCATACGGGCAGAACTTCAACCAGGGTTCTGGTTGGACCTCAGGCTCTTCTTCCAGACTGCTCTGATAGCAGGACCCCAGCCACCACATACACTGTGACCAGGAATCAATCTTACCGCTATGCCTTCTTGGTTGTGATGGACTGATATTCCCCAAAACTGTGAGCCAGGAGAATTGTTTTCTCCCTGAAATTGCACTGGCCATATCACGGCCAGGAGAAAAGAATGCAGACAGGAATTTGCAGACTCCAGTGGCCAGTAAGGATTCCAGATGTGGCAGCTCCTTTGGGTGGTATGGTCTCAGGGAACACCTGGGGCCAGACTAGGACAAGGCCTTATTTCCTTGTCAAGCTGCACCTAGGGTTTTCAGAATTTATTTATTTTTAGGCAGTGTCTTTCTATGCAGCCCTGACCATCCTGGAATTTTCTATGTAGACCAAGCTGGCCTCAAACTCACAGAGATCCACCTGCCTTCCTTCCAAGTGCTGGGATTAAAGGGATGTGCCATTACACTTGCCTCTAAGAACTTTTAATAAGCAAGATAGAGCCATCATTTAAGGTTTGCTTTTCTTCTCTTATCCCTAATGCAGGAGAAATTTAACTGTTTAATCCACAAGTTTGTGGACATTGCAATACCTATAGAGCACAAAATCTCCTGTGGGAGTCTGGGGCTTGCTGATTAAGTCAGTTGGCAGGCCAGTGGCCCTGGGGATCCTCCTGTCTTTGCCTTCCATGATTCATGCCTGATTTTCTATGCTGGGGACCAAACTCAAGTCTTCACGAACTTTATCAACTGAGCCATTACCCTAGCCCCATTTTGAACCATTTAGGCCCAGTTGACCTCGGACTTATAACCCCCACCTCATAGTCCCTAGCACTAACTCCCCAAATACCGTATAAAAATGCCTGCAGCTTTGATAAACCAAGGTTTTAAATTATTACTTATTTTGCTTTTGCAAAATTTCGAGTGCTAGAGTGATAATACAGATCCTCCTTTTGTCTTTTGAGGAGGAGAATTAGGGGTGGGATATGTTGAAGGCCTGTGTTAGGATGTGATATGTTAAAGGCCTGTATTAGGGGCATGATATGTTGAAGGCCTGTGTTAGGGTATGATGTGTTGAAGACCTGTATTAGGGGTGTGATATGTTGAAGGCCTGTGTTAGGGTGTGATGTGTTGAAGACCTGTATTAGGGGTGTGATATGTTGAAGGCCTGTGTTAGGGTGTGATGTGTTGAAGACCTGTATTAGGGGTGTGATATGTTGAAGGCCTATGTTAGGGTTGTGATGTGTTGAAGGCTGTTATGCTGTAGCAATGAATTGGTGTAAGGAATGGAACACACCTTGTATCAGGAGCCTCACAGTTGGGCACAAGTGAAGCATGAGGCGTTGTTGATGAAAGTTTCTGTCCTACCTGGTCCCATAGCCATTCAGTCCCAAATAAACACATAGAGGCTTATATTAATTATAAACTGTTTGGCCTATTGTTCAGGCTTATTACTAATTACCTCTTACAACTGAAATTAACCCATAATTCTTATCTGTGTTTAGCTATGTGGCTTGGTATCTTTTCTCAGTGAGGCATTCTCATCTGGCTTCCTCTGCTCCTGGATGATGATTGTGTCTCTGCCTTTCCTCTTCCCAGAATTCTCCTAGTCTAGCTGCCCCGCCTCCACTTCCTGCCTGGCTACTGGCCAATCAGTGTTTTATTAAACCAATATGAGTGACAAATCCTTACAGTGTACAAGAGCATTATCCCACAGCAAGGGGTTAAAGTTTATTCTGTTTGTCTGAGTTTTGTTGCTCATGCATTTTTGCCTTTTCAAAGAAGAGACAGTTTGCATTATGGAAGGTTTGTGCTCACAGATTTTATTCAAAGGCCTTGGGGCTACAGCTCAAATTTAACCATCCTATTAGGACCAAAGATGTTCTAAAGAAAGACACCATGTCCTTCCCTTTGCCTCTCAGACTACTGGAACAATGGACTCTAAGAAACTGGAATTCTCTCTCAGTCTCATGCTAATAGAGAGATAAGATGGGGACCCTCAGCCAGAGGGGACCCGGTCCCTCAGAAAGAAATGTCACACCGTATGACACTTGTCAGACCACCTTGCAGGAGAGACTAGTGCCCAGGCAATGATGAAGCAGTGATGGGTGGGATCACCCCTTTCCCGGAACTGTTAGTTCTACACACATCTTGCTTTCTATTTAAACCTAAATCTTGCATCAGACCCTGAATGTGAACTTGGGGAAGGGTCACTGGGCTTTGTTCCTTTTCCCAATGTGGCCATATTGGAGGTATCTATATCTATATATCTATATCAAAGATAAAAAAATCATTTCCTCCAAAAGTAGTGAGTCCCACTGACGATTCTATACTTCTCATAGGACATGCATTTCTAGACGTTACTAACTTCCGGTTGGCTCTTGTTCCTTCTAACACACACAAAACTCTTCTTAAGAAAATGACATTTTAAATCTTAATCAGCTCTCACCTTAGCCATTAATTAGCCATTATCTGCCAATATCTAGATTTTCAGTTAAATCCTTTGGCTATCAGTTAACACTTGAGTAATTGATATATGATCAGCTACTAACAGTTTAATTTATCTCCTGACACTGGCTTATCATCAAGATTTATTTCATTAGGCTTTATTACATGACATTTCAGTTACATGCTGAACCTTAATTATTAATCAATAGCTTAGTAACTTGCTTTTAACGTATTACTGATACTTCAGTTCTCTGCCATTAGAGTAGAGTAGTTCTCCCTGTTCACAGAAACAGGAGCACGGGGATAGTTGTGAAGAGAGAAAAAAAATCCCTTCATCCTAGCCTTGGCTGAATGCCAGCACAATTACACTTGTTTAAGGTTTTACTTCTTCCCAGCTAGAAGCCTGCACTTTTCTGGGCATCTCACCAGAAACTTTAAAGGAAAAGGGTATGTCCTAACCTCGTTGTGCTACCTTAGAGACTCCTACTTCTATGTTCTCAGATTGTAATCCATCCAGGCCATCCCAGAGTCCCCCTCTGGATTCCACTTTTCAAATAGAGAAAGACTGGGAGACGGCAAAGCAGTTAAAGGCACTTGGCGACAAACCCGCAGCCTCGGCTCAATCCCAGAGAGTGGAAAGAGAGAAATGACCTCCACAGGTAGTCAGTCTTTGACCTCTGCCCACGTGCTGTGACACGTGTTTGAGTGTGTACCTACACACATCAACATACACACAGACACAGAGGTATAACTCTTTTTTCCTTTTTCTTTCTTTTCTTTCTTTCTTTTCTTTTTTTTTTTTTTTCTCAGAGGGGGTCTCACTATACAGTCCCAGCTGGCATGGAACTCAGTATTTAGACCAGACTGGCCACAAACTCACAGAGTTCCTTCCTGAGTGCTGGGATTAAAGAGTTGTGCAACTTGCCCGGCAGTGGTGGCAAACGCCTTTAGTCCCAGCACATGGGATGCAGAGGCAGCAGGCGAATCTGTGGAGGTCAGCCTGGTCTACAGAACAAACTTCAGGACAGCCAGGGCTACACAGAGAAAGCCTATCTTGGGGTTGGGGGAGAGAGAGAGAGAGAGAGAGAGACTTGAGAGCCCTGAAGATGGTATATGTAGTTAATGCCAGGACACCTAATTGCAGCTCTCACCAGAGAATGCCATGCCCATGTGGGTCGGTCTTAGTCTTCTCCCAAGCACCTCTTTCTCTTAGCCTTTATACTTAAAATCTGTACTTAAATATCTTTAATAAATCTGGCTTCACACAGGCTAGTCCTGGAATTCTTTTCTGGGTTAAAGCCAAGGACCTGATTTTACCTGAATCAAGGTTCCCAAAAGGTTTTTGGGAATTTCTCAGGCTGCTTCTAGTAACAGTGTGGAGCCATTGTCTCTAGGTTCCTGCCACCACCGTCACTAATGACCACGGTGGATACCTGAAATTGCAGATAGTACCAACCCCTGCATACTCCGTTTTTCCTATGTACACACACCTGAGATAAAGTGTAATTAGCACAGTAAGAGATTAACAGCAATAGCTACTGATAAACCATCATAATATTCTTTGATAGAAGTGTTCTCTCATCCCCCCCCCATCACTAAATAAATAGAATATATAGTATGGACACACTAGTCACATTTGCTTCACACCTGGGAGAGAAGGAACCAGGATTTCATTGTGTAATCACAACAGCAATTTAAAAAATATGACTCCGAGCTTAGCATGATGCCGTATGATTTAATCCCAGCACTCAGAAGGTAGTTGCAGGTGGGATCTATGTGAGCCTGAGGCCAG